CTCTCTATTATAAATAGACCATCCTATGTATGATTTATACACAAGGGAGATTAATTCTAAATCATATTTTCTCTATATTCAACATGGTATCTAGAACTTAAGGTTATCTTGAAATTTTTTTTTTCGTCTTTTGTCCACTACTGGAGCCACCCCACCGCTGCTGGAGCCACCCCACCGCTGCTAGAGCCACCCCACCGCTGCTAGAGCCGCCCCACCGCTACTGGTAAACTAATCCTTTAGATAAGAAAATAATTATCTTTGTTACTGAATTTTATTTAGTAGTGTAAAAGTGCATGTCTAGGAAAGTTCTGGCAAGGAAAGACTTGATATTTAAGTGTGTCCATTAGTGACCTACCTCTCTTTCCTGGGAATTTACCTGGTGTACTGGTTCACGCCGTTGTCACTATTGCCTCCGCCGCCTCCGCCCTTTATGACTTCTTCCGCTCCTTTTAGTACTTCCAATTCGTCAAGATCGCTGTCTGATCCTTCCATCTACACTAACTATGTTAATGTGCACTTATCCATTGACAAGTTAACTGGCCCTAATTATGCCACATGGTCATCAGACGTCAGATTATGACTTAAGAGTCAGAAGTATCTTGATCATCTTGCCCCGAAAACACCTACTCTTACTCCTGGTGAGGAAGACCGTTGGGACACCATTGATGCTCAATTATGTGTGGTTCTCAAGGGTACTCTTGATCCTTTGTTAAAACAAATTTTGCGTTCCTACGAAACATGTGCCAAAATATGGGAATATGCCAAGTTATTATACACCAATGATACTCAACGTCTTTATGATGTCTGTTCTAAATTTGTAGATGTTATTGCCTCTAAACATCAAGATTCTATGATTGATTATATGGGCAAAATTCATGCTCTTTTCATGAGTTCAATGAGTTATTGCCTCCTTCCCCCGACCCTGCCACCGAGATAGCACAACGATCAAAGTTCTTCATGCTAGGGGCATTACATGGACTTGTTGATCAATATTCACATATTCGTGATCAGATTTTGGGTTCTCCGGTTGTCCCTACCTTGACATCGACCTGCTCCACTCTTTTGCGTTTATTAGCAAAACCCAACCCTGACACACCTGCTTCTGTTAATGATTCTTCTGCATTAGTATCTCACCGTGATGACCGAACTCGCCCTCGTAAACAGGGAAAAGGGCGTCCTAAGTGTGAACATTGTGGCAAGCTAGGTCACAAGATTGATCAGTGTTATGCATTACATGAGTGTGAACATTGTGGTAAGCTAGGCCACAAGATTGACAAGTGTTATGCAATACATGGTCGTCCTCCTCGATCTGCTGTAGTTGTTCAGACTGATCTTTCTCCACCTTTATCCGCTAAGGATCCTCCTTCTTCTATTTCATCAGACACACCTGCTATGTTCAACAAATTTCTCAAATGGTATAAGGATCAACAGTCTTCTAGTTCCACTGTGTCTGTCGCACACACAGGTACATCTTTTCTTGGTCCGACCCAATCTTCTTCTCGGTCCTTGGGTTTTTTATTCAGGAGTCACTCGATCATATTACTGGTAACAAATCTTTGTTCTCCTCTTTATCCTCTCCTAATCCTTTACCTTCTGTTACACTGGTTGATGGCTCTAGAGTATCATCTCATGGTGTTAGAACTGTTAAACTTTTCCCTTCTTTAACCATTGATAATGTTCTTTATGTCCCTGAGTCTCCTTTTAACCTGTTATTCATCAGTCGTCTAACTCGTTCTCTTGATTGTGTTGTTTCTTTTACCAACAATTCTATGTGTTTACAGGATCGGAGTTCGAAACAGGTGATTGACACAGGATGTGAGTCTCATGGTCTTTATCATCTTCCTCCCTTTACACATGTTGGTGCAGTTATAGAGTCTCCCTCTCTTTTCCATGCTCAGTTAGGTCATCCAAGTCTTGCCAAGTTATAGCAGCTTGTCCCTGCCTTATCTAAGTTGTCTAGTTTGACATGTGAGTCGTGTCAATTAGGCAAGCATAATCGTACTTCCTTTCCTCGTAATGTCACACGTGGTGTTTCGTCCCCTTTTGTCGTGGTTCACTCTGACATTTGGGGACCTAGCCGCGTTAAGTCTACTTTAGGTTTTCAATACTTTGTTACTTTCATTGATGATTATTCCAGATGTACTTGGTTATTTTTAATGAAAAATCGTTCTGAAGTATAACATATCTTTCAATCTTTTTTTAATGAAATACAAACTCAGTTCGGTGTTTATATTAGAGTTTTGTGCAGTGATAATGGTCGTGAATATCTTTCTCATTCTTTTAAACAATTTTTGGCTTCTCATGGTATTTTGCATCAAACTTCTTGTGCTTATACACCTCAACAAAATGGTGTAGCTGAACGTAAAAATAGACATCTCTTATTGAAACAACTCGCACTCTTTTAATTCATGGAGAGGTTCCTCAGCATTTTTGGGGTGATGCTCTTCTTACTGCATGTTATCTCGTTAATCGCATGCCATCTTCGGTTTTAGATAATAAAATACCTCATTCCATTTTATTTCCTCATGAACCACTTCATCCCTTACCTCTAAGAGTTTTCGGGTCTACATGTTTTGTTCATAATTTCAGTTCTGGTCTGGACAAACTTTCTCCTAGATCACATAAATGTGTTTTCTTAGGGTTTACAAGATCACAAAAAGGATACAAATGTTTTTCTCCTTCTCTTAACCGTTATTTTGTGTCTGCAGATGTCACCTTTGATGAGTTCTCTTTTTATTTTAAAAGTTAATCTTCACCTCTGTTTCCATCCAATCTTGTCAACACTCCTAGTACATTTAATATTCCTGTTGTTTGTGACCCTCTAACTGTGTCTTATTCACCATTAGTTTCTGCTCCGCAGTCAGCTTCTTCTTCACTGTCTCTTCAAGTTTATAGTTGCCCAAACCAATCACAATCACCACCATGTGACTCCACTCAAGTGCCAACTACTCTGTCTCCTTCGGATGTGACACCTGAGTTTGACCTTCTCATTGCCCTCTGGAAAGGTATCCGTTCTACACGTAATTACTCTCCCCATTATCTTGGTTTGAGTTATCATCGACTGTCATTACCTTTTTATACATGTCTTTCCTCTCTTTCTTCAGTGACCATTCCAAAAACTGTCCGTGAAGCTTTAGCCCAGCCTGGTTGGCATCAGGCCATGTTAGATGAATTAAGTGCTCTTCATAATAGTGGAACTTGGGAATTGGTCTCGTTACCGTCTGGGAAATCTGTTGTTGGTTGCAGGTGGGTGTTTGCTATCAAAGTTGGACCTGATGGTACTATTGATCGCCTCAAAGCTCGTCTTGTGGCCAAAGGTTATACTCAAATTTTTGGGTTGGATTATGGAGATACATTTTCCCCCGTGGCAAAGATGACTTTTGTTCGTTTATTTATCGCCATGGCCGCTCTTCAACAATGGCCTCTTTATTAACTAGATGTTAAAAATGTTTTCCTCAATGGTGATTTGCAAGAAGAAATCTATATGGAGCAACCTCCTAGGTTTGTTGCTCAGGGGGAGTCTTCTGGGATGGTATGTCGTCTTCGCAAATCCATATATGGCCTAAAACAGTCTCCTAGGGCTTGGTTTGGAAAGTTTATAGCAATGTTGTTCAACAATTTGGTATGACTCGGTGTGAAGCAGATCATTCTGTCTTTTATCGACACTCGAGTGCTGGATGTGTTTACTTGATAGTATATGTTGATGACATCGTTCTTACAGGTAGTGACACTCATGACATCTCTCAGTTGAAACAACATCTCTGTCACCATTTTCAGACCAAAGATCTTGGCAAACTTAGATATTTATTGGGTATTGAGGTGGCACAGTCCAATGATGGTATTGTTATATCTCGGAGGAAGTATGTCATAGATATTTTGGAGGAAGCTGGGTTGATGAGTTCAAAGTCCGTTGATACACCCATGAATCCCAATACTAAACTTCTACCAAATCAGGGGGAGCCTATATCGATCCTGAGCAGTATAGAAGATTGGTTGGAAAATTGAATTATCTTACGGTTACTCGTCCCGACATTTTCTTTGCGATCGGTGTGGTAAGTCAATTTCTTAATTCACCTTGTGAAGATCATTGGAATGCGAGTCATTCGTATCTTGAAGTATATCAAAGGATCTCCTGGAAAAGGATTGTTATATAGTTCTAATAACCATACAAGAGTTGTTTGCTACTCGAGATGTCGATTGGGCGAGATCTCCTTCGGATAGAAGATCTACATCCTGGATATTGTGTCTCCATTGGTGGTAACTTGGTCTCATGGAAAAGTAAGAAACAGAGGGTTGTGGCAAGATCTAGTGCGAAGCGGAATATAGAGTTATGACCTCAGTGCCTCGTGAACTTGTTTGGCTCAAGCAATTGCTTAGAGAGTTACAATTTGGAGATGTCACTCAAATGTCACTTGTGTGTGACAATCAGTCGCTTCTTCATATTAGTTCTAATTTCGTCTTTCATGAGAGGACCAAACACATTGAGATTGACTGTCATTTCATTTAAGAAAAGATTATGTCTGGAGACATCAAGACTCAGTTTGTTAACTCAAGTGATCAGTTAGCAAATATTTTTACTAAATCTTTACGGGGGCCTAAAATTGATTATATTTGTAACAAGCTTGGCACATACGATTTGTATGTTCCAGCTTGAGGGGGAGTGTTAGATATTGTTTAGATATTATTTGATATTGTTAAGATATTGTTACCACAATATCAAACAATATCTTCTGTTTATTCTATTACTTTCAGATACTCTTTTAATTGTATCTTTTTATTATAAATAGATTGACCTATGTGTGATTTATACACAAGAGAGATTAATTCTAAACCCTATTTTCTTTATATTGAACATGATCCAATTAGATACTACTTAATACAATATTGTGAAAGGTAGGATACATAAAATGCAGAAAAAGTAGAGGATTATTAGGCGCGAAGGAAACCAAGTTGATGGAAAATAAAAGGAGTGGCATAATGGACCAGAGAGAGGGAGTGGAATGAGATTTGAGATGGTGGTGAGGGTCAGAGTGGGAGGCAGGGCCCTTGACGGCGACCATAGGGTATAGTATCAATGTCTAGGTGCCCGCAGTGCCCGCGTTGCCCAACATGCAGATCCAGAGTTATTTGTTATCGTCTTTATCCAAAGCTGGCGTCGTTTTCCGCATTGCCCGCCCAATCCCTACTTTTGATTTTGAAGGGAATAAAGTTTGCACACCAAACCAAACAGACCACTAATGTAATATTGTAATTGCAAGTAACATAACATATCCTTGATCATTGGCAATAGCTGCTACATATACTACTATGTTTGTATTATGTATGTACCGTAAGGACTAAAAGGCATGTCGGTCTTCTCTTCTCTTCTGATCTCTGAATTCTGAATTCTGAATTCTCATAAATCTGACCCACTCAGTCTCTGTCTGCCTCTCCGGACGGCACGCGCGCTCAGGCTATGCTATTCATTCATTCTGCAATGCATACAGTACAATGTACATTACTACACTACAATACACACCACATCACATCACATTTCAGTATTTCGATCCCAATAATTGACATTCCCAGTTTTTGTTTTCGTGCTGCCTCTCCTTTCCCTTTCCCATTCTTTTTATTTTTATTTTTCCTTTTCTTAGACCCTCCCAACGTGACATTATGTACCTCTCTCCCTCTCATTGGCCCTACCCCTATGCCCTCTTTCACCTTCTTAATCTCGCTACCTCACTAACTATCTGCTAGGTATTTTCATGCATGCTTCCAAGAAACACCATCCAAATACCAATTTTGCTACTCGCATTCAAATTCCACTTGTTACAACAACTTGTTTTGTTTTTATATTTGGAGAATGTTTTGATTCGGTCAGTCTCCTGCACACAGGGTCGGGACTCAAACTTTTAAAAGCGGTTATATTGGGTCGTTCAACATTTTTTTATATGAGATTTCAACCAACAAATAAATTTTCCAGTCCTAGTCCCTATCTATGCATGGCTTTTCCAAAAGTTGGAATCAAAGGTGAAGGAAACACTAATTCCCTCCAATTAATCGTTCAGTCTGAATAAGATAAAGATGGTTTTATTATGAAATAAATATCATAGGAGCCTAAGACTGGTAGATAATGAGACATCACCAAATACTTTGCTATCTTGTACCTTAAGTGATTAAGATTAATTTGTCATTCATGATCGACAATGTCTCTCAATCAATCAAAATTTTGATTGACAAATGGTTCAGCGAATCCGAAACACATAGACCCCTCATTTTCGTAGAATCTCCTCGTTCCGTCTTGTGATCGCATATTTTTTTTTCTCTAACTAATTATCCTTGACTTTATGTTTTCAGAATTTTCTAGGTATGCAAATATAAGTGGTTAAAAGTTGTTAAAAGAGTCCATGCCCTTAATTTACACGAGTCAACTTGTTCACATCATCATCATCGACCTAATTGCGATTAGTGTAGAATTTGGCATAATTCGCCCAATGATATATGCTTACAAGTAATGGTCCTGAGACATAAGTTGACAGGTTACCCTAAATTGATGTTTAATTTGTCTTCTAGCTGTTGATAAAACGATATGAAGTATTACGAACTCTTGATTTTGTGGGTGTCGCTTTTAGTGATGGCGATTAGAGAACATTTTTTGTATACGTAGTGAAGAATTTCTACTAATTGAATACCTTTCGATCAATTCAAGTAATCATATCAGAGTGAGACCCAGAATTCTAAGGAATTATTCTGCAATAGAACCTCTATTACGGTGCACATATAAGCGCACCGAATTTCCGTTATTAGGGCACCGATTCCTTGGATAGTAATTAGCGCAGTTTATCATTACTCATTACTCGGTTTTAAGAAAAGTTTTAATTAATAGTTTATGGATTTAAATTTTCAGAATTTAGTATTCTCCATTGAACCAAATAACTGTCTCCCTCTAACTCTGTTTGATTGTGGTTGAAGCAATGTGACTCTGGACAAATTTTACATACCTATTTTTGGCTAAGATCAAAATTGACGTACCTATGACATTATAGGATGGAATCTCGACTTTCCCTTTGAAAAAAAAAATATTATTATGAAAAAAACAAATGAAAGTACTGGAAAAATTAAATATAATTATTATTAACAAATTATTGGCTCTACTAGTATGTTTAACCTTGCTTAGATTCCAACGGATAGTACTATTATACATGTTGTTAATACTTCCTTCTTGTAGTTAAACAGGATTATCTCTATAGATTCTTCTGTGTTGTGATTCAAAATTTCACATTAACTATTTATCTCCTTTATCTCTTCTTAGCTACATAGTTTTTTTTTTTGGTGAAGTATAAACATTTTATAATATCTATTATTTTATTTCTTTCTTTCACATCAAATAGTTTATAATACTTAACTTTCGCTTTCTAATTGTCCACACTAACACCTACTTATCTATGGAAGTTTTACTTTTTGTTTATATTAAGGTATCTTTCAAATGGGCAATTTTATATGAGTAGAAACAACTATACTTTTTTTTATAGAGTTCACATGCATTTTCTTACAAAATAATTCCTTTTTAAGTTTATTAAAATTACTGAAGGCTAAACGAAACCTTTTCTCTGAATATTTAATATTCTCTTACTCAAAATTAAAACAATTATGTGTGAATGGGATTGATAAAACTTGTAGCAATATGCTTTCAATATATAAAATTAAAATTAAAAAATACAATATCTGCAACACTCCACATTCTCTGAATCACACACTGTTGTTGGTCTTGTTAGATAGAGTGGACCAGAGAAAGTAGAATGGTGAATGACGAAAATACACAGAATCATTTGCAAGACCGCAGCTGCCAATGATCGTACACAATCTCTGATTCAAATGTTAGAATTTCATGCAAGATCTAGTGGTTTAATGAAAACTGATGAGATTATTAATGAAGGTGTGTATTCTTAAGAAACCAAGAGCTAGCTCTTGAAACGAGCGATAGTAGAAAACATTCATGTGATGAAAGAATGGATGATTTGATTGCTTGCTTGCTACATTCTTGTTTTGTTCGTTGTTGAGCATATAACTGTGTCTGTGAACTAGGGTCGGGTATGTATGAAGTTTCAATATTTGGGGGTGTGATTGTGTACCAGAGACAGGACAGTGGGACATGTGTTTGTTCTGGCCAGGGGAGTGAGTGTGGGGAAGAGCTGAATTGAAGCCATGAGTTTCGGGCGCGCAGTGGCTCTTTCTTTTAGTTACTAGTTGTAGGGACACTCGGCTTTACACGTACTTCCACGTGATTAGCCCTCTTGAACTTGTAATGATGGTTTTTGAACGGAGAAGAATCTTCACCTAGAGAAAACCCTCAATCCCTTCCTCCAAGCGCCTACAAGTACCACTCTTTTACAAAACTTCATTACCAGTAAATTTTTCCCTATATCTTTCCTTTTCATCGTATCAAAAAGGGGTTGAATCTACAGAAGAAATTAATCTTTCACAACAACGGGATGAACTAAGGTTCGAATTTCCTTTCAGAGAAATATTTACACATTTAATGCATTTATGGAATATCACTGTTTCAAAGTGGGGGAATAGAAGATTTACCTATCCTTCATCCTCTACTGTTTCACTTCTAGTATTATACTTGAATATTATTGATATACGAGCCTATTGATTCATTTAAGAAAAATATTTCGTAATCACCTATAAATTTATTACCTTCTTTACCCATCATTTTATATGCACAGTAACAAGGAGAGAAAGAAAAACGAGGTTGGGTTAGTTTTAAATTTTTGTATAAAATAGAAACAAATAGTAAATATGACTTCAGACCTAAAGACTTTCATAGTTGTTAAATTTATACGTGGAAGCAAAATACATGAGCAGTAAAACAGGCAATCCAAAAAAGAGAAGCACGCGACCACATAGAGAAAACGATTTTAGCCATACGCGTATAATGGAAAAATGAAGTTGAATTCAAATCCGTTGTCTGCAAGTTTCTGTTGATATTCAAGCAAAAAGAAAGGGAATTCAAACTGTTTGGATGCATAGAAATTAACGAAGTGTCTTTACTGGCACTGTTTACTCATAAGTGGGACAAACAAAATGATTTCATCCCTTACATAATTCATAATTGGTTCAGCGAAGACCGCACGTATGATAGAATGTGTAATGATCAGTGCATTAATAAACCTCTTCTAACTGAAGTTGGAATCATACGAGATCGAAAGTAATAATGAGCTTAAGAAAAAATATATTATCTACTATATTGCACTCATACATAATATCCACTGTAGTCAAAATTTTCTAACACCAAAGAGTTGTTAGGATGACCAAAATGGAAAGTGGAAACTCGACGTCATCTTTCTCTTAGAGAAATTTATTTTCTGACGCCTCTGATATATACAAAAGATGTTTTGAACTTGAACTAGTCCAAATGAAGTTAATAAACTTATTTAAGAAGATAAAAGGCTTTGGTGAGTAAGTTTCTATTTTCTTCGTGTTCAAAACTGATGGCTAAAATTTTGTTTAAGGAAACCTAAATATGTTGTGAGTGTAAAGAGATGGCATAGAGTATATAAATATATATATATATATATATATATATATATATATATATATATATATATATATATATATTATTAGCAGCCCCCAATTCTATATATTCTTTGGCAACAACTAGTACCTGACTGCCAACGAAGCTGTCCTACTACCAGCATAAAACAACGAAGCTGGCCAATTGAATTCCCAAAGGCGAGTGTCATCATACACTTCTACTCCTCCAATCTATATACTCTTTAATTCTCTCTCACTCATACGCAGAGGAAACCCACTTTCTTTCGCTTTTCTTTCTCCACTAACTCAAAAAGCCTCGCCACCCTTTTGCTTTTCGTTTTTGGATTGTTGTAGATCCACCAAGATAAAGAAGATGATCCAAGAACTGTTGGGTGGAGCTAGCCTCATAGCAGGAGAAAGAAAACCCTCCATTAATGGAGGAGGAGGAGGAGTTCTACTCCCAACTACACCATCTCCCTCTTCTCTTCCTTCTTCCACAGCCAATAATGTTACCCTCATATCCACCACCGCAACTACTACTACTGCCACCACCACCACCGCTACTCCCACATCGGAAAACCAAAACCTGAGGTGCCCGCGATGCGATTCATCCAACACCAAGTTCTGCTACTACAACAACTACAACCTCACTCAACCGCGCCACTTCTGCAAGACATGCCGCCGCTACTGGACCAAAGGCGGCGCTCTCCGCAACGTTCCAATCGGCGGCGGCTGCCGGAAAAACAAGAACATCGGCGTGGCGAACTCAGTGTCAAAGACAGCCTCAACCAAGATGAAAACCGTTGCATCTGAGCTTGGAAAATCACCAGGTTTTGGTGGGTTTGAAGTTGAACATGAGCTTCCACAACCGAGCCAAATCCTTTGGGGTTCCCCCCAAAACACTCACCTTCTGGCTTTGCTGAGGGCTACACAAAATCAAAACCCTAACCCTAACCCTAGTCCCATGTCCATCAAGGAAGAAGGGACCCTAATGGGCCACATGGTGAGCACTGAGCCCTTGGTTTCAAATGCGCTGCTGAATCACCGAACCTTGGGCTATGATGCGGTTGCGCAAGTTCCTTCGCTTGGTCTGTTTGGGAGAAGCAACCAAGATCAACAACCAAATGGAGGGTTCCTACTTGGGGAACATCACAACAGCGGAATTCAAGAGCTTTACCAGAAGCTAAGGTCATCAACGGCTAATAATTATTGCAGTGATAACTCGTCACAAGTGTTTATGGGCAACATGGCTTCAAATTATTCCTCTTCTGTGTCGAACAACATTATGGAGACAACTTCTGTCGCTGGGGGTGAATTCGGATACTGGAATGGTTCAACCTTTTCGTGGTCTGATCTTCCAACCACGAATGGCGCTGGTGCTTATCCGTAACAGAAATAACTGTTTTTCTCTCTATTTTGTTCACCGGTTAAATTTTATTCTCCTGTTAGATAGTAGCATAGTGCTCCTAATTAATCACTTTGTATCTTAAGAGTTTGGTTCTTTTGTGGTTGCTTTGGTTTGGGTGGTATATGAATATGGATCTAGCACTTTTTCTTTTCTTCCCTCTCTTTCCTTCAATCCCTTTTACTTTTTGTTTTTTTGTGTAAGTTTGGTTGAAGGTGTGCTTGGCTAAGTTATCTGTGGTTATTTCGAGGACCAGAGTTTAAAACTGAATGGAGAAGGCAGTGTATTTTTTAATGGTTCATATTAGTTGCCAAGTCTCTTAGATTTTGTTAATGTAGTTTTGCTTCTTCCTATTCAACGTTTCCCCGTGTCCTAATTACTTTACCTGATTAAAGGAATAATACACTTAATCGCCATAAACGAGAAATATATATCGACGATTATAAGCACGAGAATACAACAATGTAGACTATAGGTTGTTATTGACATTAAATCGGGAACATCGATCACAGCTTCTTAACAAATATAATTTTGTAAGAACCCAATAAAAAAGAGTAAAGTTGGTGTGTAGAAGAATATATCATCTTGGTATACTCAAAACTTTAGGGTTTTGTTTTGGTGTGTGTTAGGAGGAGGTGGTGGAGGCGTGGTGGTGGTCCTAGTGGGTAGCATATGCAAATGCAAGAACTTTGTTTTGTTACGAGAAATCGACGAATCTAATGGAAAACCAGCCTTTTGAAAGGGTTTCCTCAAATAGCATTAGAGAATCTTGGAATTGGTAATGGGAGGAATCCATCTGCGTCCTTACAGAGAGCAGTGAGCACTTATGCTATGCCTGACTTCTGTTTCTCCGGTATTGTCCAAAATTTTATTTCCTTCTTCCAGTACTGACAATATCTATCAAACGCACACGCACAATGTTGTGTCTGGATTCTGGAACTAGCTGTCGACTCATCTTGATTCTAGGTATTCTAGTCAGTAATGTGAACCTATCTAACGATTCTAACCTATTATGAGTGTCTCACACGTTATGTGACAAGAACGAGTCACTCAGTCACATGCAAACAGGTAATTCTAAATGATTACGCCGACTCACAAGCTTTGGTGTTTTTACCAGAGAAGTCGCAGATTCTTCGGCTCTTGAACGTTCAGAAAAATATATGAGATCAGTAATGTGCTGTTACCAAGTATGTCCATCACTGTACAACTCCGGAATCTCCCTAAGTAAACCCAAGCTAGGCTAAAAATTGAGCTGCCAAGGTGAATATGGTTAGTGAATAAAACACACAAAATGCGTCAATCTTTTACATAAACGCTAATTTTAGGTTCAATTTATCTTCACTCGCATCTATACAAAAATTGGATTTTATATTTTGTTTTGAATGATATATATCTTTCAGGATAGAATGAAGTTTCTTCATATGATTTGTACAAGCATGTTTACAAAATAATAGTTGTCTTAATTCTATCTCCACACAAGGGAAGACAAATAACTTATTTAGATACAAAGAATAGGTGATTTCTATGTTTTTGTTAATGGATGTTATTTTTATTTATAGAAAATCTTCGAAAAATTACGTTTGCGTAAACACTTTTATTAGTAAAAAATTCAAAAAATAAAATCATATTTTTATAAACTAAAATTAATATTATATATATATATATATAATTTATGTTTATCAAACTTTGAATTAATGTAAAAAAGTCACTTTTTATATATAGTAACTATAATCAATGTAAAAAATACATACTAATATTACAATGGATATGTAAATATAACTGTGTAAAAAGTGAATTTTATATAAGTGTAATCAAAATTGATGTAAAGTGTAAAATTTTATATAAAAAAATGTTTTACTATTTTTTTTTGTTCTTGTAAATAAAAAATAATTTTGACTTATAATTACAAAATTTTATTTTCATTAGATGAATATCAACGTATGCACATCAATAAAAAAATTAGTTAAATCTATGTTTAAATCTTTTAGATAAGTATATTATGTATCTCTTACATTTATCATTTTATTACACTCAATAAAGTAAATTGGCATTACCTTTTTAGTGTGACAGAGAAAAGGTTAATGAACAACAATGATATTTTAAGGAAAGAGAAAAGAAAGATAAACAATTGGTGATTTTGAGTTGCTTGAGAGAAAAGAGAAGACATTATATATTTTTCAAATATAAAAGAGCAAAAATATTTTAAATCAAAAGGGATGAGACATCATATTTTAAATCATAAGAGAAATATGAAAAAAAATATTTAAATATTGTACTATATAAATTACAAAGTAACAAATATAATAGACAACATTAATATACTATATATTCGTAAATTTTGTAACTGATATAGAATATTAATAACTCAGATGTATCAATACAAGTAAAACTCAGCATAAAATATTGCATTTTTAATGCTATTTTCTTCTTATGTAGAATATCTACTCTTGCTCACAAATATCCCTCGGAAATAAGGAAAAAAGAAAAGTAAAATGTTATCTTTCTTCAACTAGACTAACACTATATTGGAACAAGCGTGAGAACCTTAGAACGAAAAATCTTAAATTAATTCAAAGAAAAATAAAAAATCAATTTTGTAAATGAGGACTAATTTAGAATGAAAAAACTTAAATTAGTCTAAAGAAAAATATTATTTTTCTTCAACGAATAAGATCAGTTTTGTAAACGAACACTAATTTAGAGTAAGTGTGAGAATTTAGGATGAGAAATTTTTGAGAGAAGTTTAGAATGAGAAACATATCATAATGAAACTCTCTAAAAAAACCTTTGAAAGAAGATGAATAACGTTTTACACTAGTGAAATGTTAAAACTTTTCACACAAGGGAGTTCAGAAACAAATTTTACAAACAAATATAAAAAATTCAAATTTTTAAATATGAATATATAAGTTTGTAAATAATATATTAAAAAAATTAAAATGACAGAATATTAATTTACATATACTAATTTTTAAATTAAAAAATTTAATCAATTTTAACCGTTAAAATTTCATGTCACTTGTACCCGTTTCTTTGTAGTGTATGAAGTACAAGATAATATACATTCATTATGTTGTTAAAAGAACTTACAATAGTAAAACATATTTTTATTGTTTTTATTATCCTTAAAGCGTCTAAAAAGTTCTGATATAAACTAGAAATTACTTTTCTAGTATGATTTAATTAAAGGAGTTTACTGCAGTTTATTTTTATTATCATTTTAGTTTGAGCATCATACATAACGAATATTTTTAATATAAATAAAATTATTATAGATAACTAATTTAAAATATAAAGTTATATTATAATTAAATATCATTATTAATAAATAAATTTGAATATATATAAATTATGTCTGAATTTATAATTATGATTTGATTTTTTTTTACTATTGACAAATAAACTATTGAAAAATAACTAGGAGATAGAATATAGTAAATTAAGAAGGATAAAAAATTAAGAAAATCAAATATAAAAAAATGTAAAAGAATGATAATGTGATATGATTGGGAGAATTCTTCTTAGTAATTATTAAAACAGTGCAGGAAATGTATATCCAAATAATAGAAGAAAGATTACATTGTATATTTCTAGAAATAGCGAGGAAAGTAAAAGTCTCTCTCTATTTATACTTTATATTACAAGAATAAATGAAAAGAGTTATTTTATAATTTTTCGAAACTAATTCAATGAACTTATACTTAAGTTTCATTGACAATGGTTGACCTTTGATGATCGAGAAGCATAACATAGGAATCAAGGGAAACCAGATGGGGAATATAATGTTTTTTTTATTATTATATATTATTGTGATTAGAAGAAATAATAATCTAATACAACATCAAATCAACTAGTTAAAAACACCTCTCTTCAAATAGGCCTCAACATTCAGTCAAGGCTTCCATTTTTTTTACATTTTACTTGAACAGTCACACCCTCGTAACTGAAACTTCTAAAACAAAATAATGATAAGAATGAAGAAAAGTGAAACTTATGCCAATAATCACATCAAACTATCCTTCTGAGTCTATGCCTTGGGGAGGTGTTTAGCCTTGCCACAATACAGTGCATTGGGAGGGATAAGAGTCTCAGTGTATAAACTCTGCTCATTGTTCCACACCCTTAGATACAAATCTTGTCCCAAATACCGTCTTTCCGCGATTGCAGACCTCAAGTTCCACATACCCTTATTGTCCAAAGATACCAAAATGGCACTCCATGAGTTTGGATACACCTGTCCATTGCATAAATCGAGAGATTAACTATACCAGAATTTTCTATTTTTCTTGAACATAAAAGTATAAGTAGCACACTTTCTAACACTACTGTTTTTTGACACGCTTATTTTTATTAGTTGAAATTCATGTGAGTCTCCTTAGTTTGAGAAGAAACTCTTGTACTATTTAATACAACTTACTTAAGTTTCAACAAAAAAGCATGTCAAAAAATAGCATTGAAATTCTCAAGAAAATATCACTACTGCAGCTATTGACTCACCTGAACAGTGTGTCTAGTAACCCCATCAATCAAGTTGTAAGTCTTTCTAGCATCAGGGGTCCACAAGCCATTGGCATATCTAGATATTTAGATTTGGTTAAATAATTTTGTGATCAACAGATTGAATCAAACCCAATTAACAAAAGTAGAAATTAGTTGTCCTACCCAACAACATAGAAGCTAGATCCATCCATGTGCCAGGACTGAATGTAGTTTTCATTGTTCTGGAAGATTATTTCTGCAAAATCATGGAGGGCAAATCCTATGACTGATGTGCCTAGTTTGGCAAGGGTGCCTGGAGGAGGAGGAACATCTTTGATGGTGTTGAGATTAAAGACTCCGGGGATGTTAAACCAATCAGCAAGCTTCAATGGGGTGTTTGGATTGATGTGGGAAATTCCATTCACTGCATATCGTAGCTTTCGATCTATTAAGGCTTTGGAATTTGCCAATAGAAGTGTCCTTACAACAGGGATGGTTCCGTAGTGGAATGAGCCCTGAGGATTTGGCCGAGCTGCATTTGCTGTCAAATTCAGTCTTTAAAGTAAAGTAAATAAAACATAGTCAGAAGCAATGATCAGAAGATTCCCAATTGAAAACAGTGCAACACTGAAAATAATGAAGTAAAATGTTTACTCTTAAAAAAGGTAACAGTGATAGATGTGAGAGATGATGGTAAACATAGGGTGAAACTTTTTTGTAATTAAAAATGAGAATAAACTATGTAAAATAAATAAAAATACAGTACCTAATGGTTCTAACTTGCTCCATGGACCATTGTACATCATTAGTTTCTGGGCCTTGAGGCAATGGGATTGGGGCCTTACTGCTGGAGCCAGCATAGCGAAGAGTTGCTGTGGTAGTGAGAACACTGGGGCCGGTAAAACGGCTAGATGCAATAATGGCATAGTCACTGATTAACCCACTAAGTGTGACCAAAACAGTCACTGATTGCCCCACATGAACGTCAAGGGACTTGTACGATTCCTGGATTGTGTGTGCACCTTCAACTTCAATCAGCTTCAATTCATGCCCCTGAATCCTGAAGTTAAACGAGGTTGATAAACCAACATTCGACACCCTAAACTTGTATGTCTTCCCTGAAAATAGTTTTAATTCACCAAATTTAGTAACCACACGGTACTGGTTTAAATGGAAATTGAAAACTATGACTATTTCATAGCCATAAAATAACATGCTGTATATGTTGATGCAAATGTTTACCAGCTAACCCAGTGAATACAGCAGCATTTTTTTGGCCGTTTATGAGAAGAGCATCGGGATAAGGAAGACTCTTTCCAGCGTCCAGTAGTCTCCTTAGCACCTAAAAATCAACACTGTTATTATCTTTTAAATACTGTTTTTTTAAAATAGATTCAACTAATTTAAGGAATTGTTAAAAAAATATATCATTTTTAAATAATTAAATTTTAATTAAACTGGTAAAAAAATAAAAATTGTTACAAAATTAATAAAAATAATTAAATTTTTAGATTAAATTGACTTTAATAAAAAAATACAAATTTTTAATTTTTTCTAAACATAATTTAAAAAAAATCATTTTTTATTTTATATTAATAACATCAATTTTAAATAATAATTATTTTATTATATTTTTTAATTATTCATCTTTTACTCTTTAATATATTTTATGTTTATAATTTTATAATATAAGATAATTAAAATAATAATTTTTATTATTTTTTGAAAAAATTATTATTAATATATTTCATTAAATTTTGTTAGATTTTAATTAAATCTAGTTAAACTATTAACTCTTGAACCATGTCTTTATTAATTTAGTAATCTGTTCCATTTTTTTTAAAACATTCCTCTTAGATTAAAACCTTATAACTTTTGGATAATTAATTAACAATATTAATTTAGTAACAAAAATTAATGATAATGAAAAATGTTCTATATTATCAATTTATAGCCTATTTTCTCTTAACATTAAAAAGAAAAAAAATATTCACTAGTAATATAAAATAGTTTTATATCATTGTTTGTCTCGGTTTGTTGATTTTTATGATAAGACAAACGTCACATTTTGTCCATAATTTTCAATAATATTTAGGAAGGAAATTGCAACCACGTTAACCACCCAATTTGAAAGATTGATACTATCTCAGCTTTCATATACCAAAATCATCTAAAGTTCAATTTTTTTCGGAATTGTTTAACTCATGACAGATTGGATAAATGTAAGACCAATTTTGTCCGACAGATTATGATATAACTACTAGGTCGTAATTGCTATTGGTTTAGGGAAGTGATTTCTTCACTTACTCTGTGATCGTTTCTGTACCAATCTCCAACAAGCAAGGTGAATTCTCCATCAGGAGCAGGATATGGGATGGATATCACAGATCTTTGGGCAATGTTGAATCCCCCAAAACCACCGCCAGCTTTGTGGATTTTGGTTGATGGGAAATATGTGTAGGTTCCTACTTGATCTTTTACTTGGAACTTGTATGTCCAGTTGGAGTTAGGAGGGATAGGACAGTTGGTTCCTAAAACTCCATCTTGCCATGATGTTCTTCTTTGTTTTATACCACTCCTGTTTTGCATTACATCCAAAGGAATAAAAAGGTTAATACTTATCTCATTTTATAAACTAAATAGTAGGAATACACCACTAACCATGTAATGAGGAATTTTTCATCCAGCTTGTTAATGACATTTACAATGATATTGTCATTGGTGATGGCTTCAATTGTAGGACCGGGAAATTGACCATTGATCAGAATGCCCTGGGTAACAAACCAACTAAATATTATATTCATACCCTTTTACAACTCTGAAAAAAATGGCATTTTAATTGCCATCGAAAAATGACCTACCGGTTGTGGAAAACCTAGAGGATAAACTGTTCCGTTTGTAATTTCCCATGTGAAGTACAAATATCTGTCTTCTGCAATAACTGAGAGAGCACCCCAGCAAGCCAAAACTCCAACAAAAACTGAAGAAAGAATGCTCTGCTTCATCTTGGCCGATACACGCTGTCAATTTTGGAATATCATTTTACATTCTGAATGAATTGCAATTTCAAGTTAATCCATCACAAAATAAAAGTAAAGTGAAAGATATCTACGACAATGCATGCATTGAATCGATGGAGAAAATTGAATTACTAAAGTTTAACTTTAAAGTATAAACTTAAACATAGTTTCATGAATCAAAATTGACATTTCGTTCTAGTGCACACTGTATTAATCTCGATTGTTAAAATAAGCAATCAACAAAATGAAACATGGATGTTGTGCTGTATCTATGTTAGGAAAAATAACACTTTATAGTTTATACTGCATGAGTTAAGAAACTAGATAACAAAGGAATGCATTAGGAGTTCAGATTCAAGGAGAAAGTTGAAAGCATACCAGAAATCTAAGTTCCTCTTAAACAAAACCAAGATGATGAACCGATACGAGGATGGAGAATACAGTGATTGACGCTACCCAATATATATACATATATATGAATATAGAAGTACGTATGACAAAAAGAATTGAAGAAGTTAGGGAAGATGCGCCAGAGTGTGCAATACACAAGTTGTGTACTCAAAATACTATCTTGTACATGCACATTACTCTCTTTAATTAGAACAACTCACACACACACACACTTTCTCAAGATAATAGTTTGTTTAATATTGTGAAAGCGCATGTTACGAAGTTGACTACATAATTTCTTGAAACAAGCAAGACCACCTAGTAAAAGAAAAAGAGTATATATTATTCAAATGGTTTTCGTGTGAAAATGGGTTGGCGTTTGTGCTAATCTTGAACCGGTGGTGGCCGGAAGAGAAGATCCACCGGGTCCGCCGCAGCAGATAGCGGATCCTCATTAATTAGTGGAGTAAATTCTACGACCCTTAAATATATCCTACGTTATACAATATTTTTTATTGTTGTTTGTTCAAATTGAATTGAATTTTCATGAACAGCTACAACGCGAACATAAAGAGCATTTGATTTTCTTCTCTCTTTTTTTCCCCGTTGTATAGACTAAATAGTGCTACTGAAATTACATTGAGAAAAATAAGAATTAGTTGGGGTTTTCATCAATATAGAAATATGATAGTTGCTATATAAATAGGAGTAGTATTTTTAGTTTCAACTGGAGAAATCCAACCTAAAAGTGTAACGTGGTTGTGGAATCATATGTTTGAAGACAATGTGATCGAATAATATGGATCTATGTTGGAGTTTTTATTCCATTCTGTCTAAGAACTTGCCCGTTTTTTCCTAACTCATATTCAACAACCTCACATTTCGCTTCCCGCCATAAGTGAGCGCACATGAGCTCGTAAAACGCGATGTCGAGTGAAATAATAGAATGTAGCAGAAATTTCAAGATGGTGAATTTTGTGAATAATTCTTATGCATAAAATAAATTCTTTCTACTATTAATTAATTCGTTTATCTAATAACATGTACACTCGATGCCCTCAACTTTAATTTTCTTCTAAGATCAATTGTGTGGTATTGGACATCCGAGTAATTTCAGAACTAATTTTTAACGTAATTGCATTATCAAAACTTCAAATTAAAATCTTCAGTTACATTAATTCACACGCTAACAGGTTAATTTATATTGTAAAAATTACATGTTTTGAAATAATGGTTCTATAATTAATAAACTATTGATTTTTTTTCGTATAAATTATGGGCGCATTTTGATTTGTTATTTTATAGGGGAAGAATGCATGTGCAGTTTGTGCCCAAGATGACATTAAAATTTAAGAAAAATAGCAATATATAAGTGAGAAGAAAATTTGAATAATGTTAAATATATAACCGACCATTCTCCCCCTATACGTACGTGTATGAAGGGGGCTAGCATCAAAACTATGAAAAGGTGATTTGCATATGGGATTACCCGAAGGTACTATTTACCCATTTGAATCATTTGTTAAGGTTCCAATATCTTAAACAAAGATCAAACAGAGTTGTATTATGTTTAATTCCTCACATGTTTACATTGCCAACCTGTTGTAAACCTTAACAGGTGACCATGTGTAATAAAAACTCAATAAAACCTTAATCAAATTAATTATCTTTAAGAAAATACAAAAGAATTTACAAATGTCAGAGTCTTATTATAAGAGATAGATATGGTACCTATCATCACCCGTGTTTTTAAATAAAAGTCAACTCCATAAATTTTATTTCTGTCCAAGTCAATAAGCCAACTTGAGTTAATAATATGTAATAGATCCAAGAACTGATCTCCTGGGAAAACAGAAACATGAATTGAATTATAATACCTTCATTTTTTAAGTTTTCAAGAAACGATAGTGGATGAACAGTTGTATTAATTAGCTTTTGGAGCTTCTTTTTCCTTTTTCAAAAAAATTGGTTTAATTATCCCACTTTTGTTCTTCTAATTTAAAATAACGTATATATAGTTTATCCTCAAAAATAAAGTCTGTAATCACTATTAAATATAATTTATAACTTCTTTTAAGACTAAAAAATAATCTATCTTCAAATTTAAAGGACAAAACTATTTCGTAGGATAAACCAAAATTTTAAAAATATTGAGAGATCAATATTAAATTTTTCTCTTAATTATTTTTATTAAATATCATCTACTTTTATTTATTGGGCAGTTTCTTGAACATGTTTATCAACACTCTATTCTTTCCTGTTTTATTCACTCTTAATTGTGTAAAAGAATATTTCATTTTTAATTAATTCTCCATCGCCTAACACTTTGAATTCAAAAATAAAATAGAGAGAGAACTTTAAAAAATAATTAGAAATAAAATAAATATATGTGATAAAATTGTTTGTTATAAGAAATTTTCAAAATATTGGAAATAAAATTAAAATTTAAACTCTCTTTGCTTGGCAGGATAGAATGGGAAGATAGAGTTAATTGAATTGGAATTGGTATATATTAATGATTCTCGACGTAAAGATAGAGTTTATTATTCTAACAGTCAAAATGGTAGATGAGTACGTTAAAACATTTATAAATAAAAAAAAATATTTAAGTTTTATTTTATAAAAATTATTATCTCTAAACACGCATATTTTCTACCTGTTCTCTAGTATTGTTTGGGAGATTCATCCATTTATTTTAATTAAATCCACCCTGCAGCTAATACTGATTTTTTTTTCTTTTTTTTTAAGATACATGTATGTAGAACAATTTGCATGTGTATAGAAGTGAGCATGCATGTGAATTTTTGTTGGTAAAGATGAATTTATGCTTGTTTACTGAGAGTTTTTTTTTTTAGTATGTGTAGTTTTTTTTTTTTTTTGTCAAATTAGATTTTGTTGGAGTCATGATTACGACAATTAGAATATTAAGAGAAATTAGTCATTTAAATTTCTTAGTGAGGATAGGGACCTAAATGTCCGGATGTGACAAAATTATAAGTGATTGATTTGCTTTAAACAATCATATATAAATTAGTTTTTTATTTAAATTTATGTAATTAAAAGTTTTTTTAAAAAAAGAGATTAATATTATTTAAATTTATATTTTGCATTGTAAATTATTTAAATTAATATTTTATTAAAATTAATTTTGTTTATACTAATATTTTATAATGTACTATAATTTAAATTATACTTTAAGATAAATAAAAACTATTAAAGTGTATATTTTAAAGAATTTTTTTAATAATATTATTTAAAATAAAAATAAAATAAAATAAAAATTCATAGGTATTCATGACTACTAATGATATAAATAAATTTGTGATTTTTTTTTTGTTAAATAGATACTTGGGTGGTAAGTCGAATTATATTTTTTTGTTAAGAGACGGTTTAATTTACTAAGTGAAAATGTGGATGATACTTAAAGTTCAAGTTTGATAATTTTTGTTCAAAGAAGTTAATATTTAATTTTTATAGTTTTTCTTTAAAATGAGACTCCTGTGAAATATGTTTGGTTTTTAGTATAAAATGATTCCTGATTAATTTATTTTTTTTATTTGAGTATCCAATGAATCATTCAAATATTAAGTGCATTTAGTTTAATTGACTAATAACCATAGGTGTTTTTCAATTTTAGATGATTAAGATAAATTTAACCCCAATAATTTGATAGTTAAGATAAAATAGATTTTAATTATTAATCTTGTATATATAATTTGGATTTATATTTTGTAACATTTATAAATTACAATATGTGTGAAAATGCAATGAAAGTAAATTACTACAAAGTAGAAGTTGGATCAAAGATAAATATTATCATCATTTTTTATATTTATTTTATCATATTTATATTTTTTAGTATAATCGCTAATACATTTTAAAAATAAAAATATAATAAATAAAAAATAAAATTTACAAATGATTATTTTCTTATAATCATTCTCTTATTTTCTCGATATATTTTGTTAGCACATAATATCTATAAGCGTACATGTTACGTAACCGGACCATAATTATTTTTACATATTTTTTGATTGTATAACTTCTTTTCGATATTTTGTTTCTTTTAATTTTGCAGCCCTTACCTAGTGTTTTCAATTCTTTTATTCTATATATTTCATCGATCACTCAACTACTTCTTAGTTTTACTCAATTTCTCCTCTCAATAATACACATTTTCAAATATTTTCTAATCATATGCATTAATTGTAGTTTGTACCTTTGATTCACATATTCCAACTTATTATTCTTTTAAATTATTCTTACTCTCAACTTATTATATTAATTTTAGTCCGGTTCTTCGATTCTTAATAATTTTAATTTTCTTCTTTCATTGTTTCTATTTTTTCTTAAAACTTCTCTTTTTAATATATTTGTAAATTTATCAATAATATGAAAAGAGAATTAGAGGGATTAATTTTTGTTTAAGTGATAGTTTAGTCTCTCAATTGACAGATTTTTCACTTACGTGATATCTCCACTCAAACAAAAAATTAGTTCAAAGGATCAACTCATGGTTTAACAAATTTAAATATATACCTAATTTATTGAATGGGACACAATGGTTGAAGGAACATAATGGTTTCTAGATTTTA